TCCTTGTAGACGTATCTGCTTTTAAAAAAAACGTTTTCTTCTTTTCTGATTCACCAGAATATTCTGTAATTCGTTTTCTAATTGTAAACAAACTTCGCGAACACCTGGTTTCAATTTTGTTTCAACCATTTTCATGTCTACGAAATCACCACGTTAAAATGTTTGGACCAACTGAATACTGAATGTAGCAAAACATGAAACGTGTGAATACAATCGTTGATTTTTATTTTTCATTGAAAGTGAATCAGTCAGACTGCGTCAGCGAAACTGACAAGTGAGAACCCGCCTTAAGACTAAATATATTTCTGTTGCATTGTTGCAGATGTTCCAGGCTGGATTTTATTTTTTTTATTGTTTTTAAAATACAGTTTTAGTTACTTTTATAATAAATTGAAGATTTATAACAATATGTGACGAAAAATCGGTTTTTGTTACAAATTGGTATTTTTCGTAATATATGTACATTTTCATTTAACTAATCTCGATTTAACTCTATGAATCTCGATTTTAAATTCTCCTAATTTGGGGGCCCCTCTCAATGACGGGGCCTGGGGCTATAGCCCCCATAGCCCCCCCCTTAATCCAGGCCTGCTCTCCCTTTTCAAAGCCCTCGACTATGTCCGACACAACACTACCAACAGCCTGAACCGCAGATCGCCCCTCCCCGAAGCCGAACTGTGAAAAGTCGAGCAAATCGTTTCTCTCGAAAAAATCCATTAATCTAACTTTAATAATCTTTTCAAATATTTTGCCAAAAACGGGAACAATCGATATGGGGCGATAGTCCGACACTGAATCCTCGTCTCCTTTTTTAAAAATTGGAACCACTCTAGATAATTTAAAAAGATTGGGAAAATTGCCCTTTTCAACACAAATGTTAAAAAGATGAACCATAGGCTGGATAATTTCATTTGAAATGCTTTTCAAAATATTGCTACTTATATCATAAATATCATATGAAGCCGAATCTTTCAGCGCATTAACAGCATTCCGTATCTCTCGCCCGTCTATTGGCAAAAAAAAACAAAAGTGCTGTTGTTCATTAATATATTTCCAATCAATTCGTTCTGAATATTTTGATCAATGGACAATTCGCTTACAATTTTAGATGCTATTTCCAGAAAATACTCGTTGAAGCTCGTAGCTTTTATATCAGAGTTGTTTCTCGATCTTACCTGATGATTTCTCTCGAGGTTGATAATTTTCCAGGGACTTTTTGCTTTCGATTTTGATGAATTTACATAATTACTGTAGGCATTCTTTTTTGCGACAATGATAGACTTTTTATAATCTCCCCGCAGTAACCGGTAGTAGGCGCTATACTCTACACTATTTAATCCGTCAGCAATGCATTTTACAACTTGCATTTGCCTTCTTTTTTCTTTGAGCTCACTATTATACCAGCGAACAGGAGGATTATTATTCCTATTCCTAACCGTTTTCAAGAGTAAGTGTTTATTTATTAAAATTTGAACATTTATTACTAAAAATTTTGACAAAAACTCAATGTCATTCGAGTTAAAATAATCTGCCCCAGGTCTGCCCCATAGATAAAAGACTTATACTATTAAATAGATAGGCAACTTATAATACATTTCAATTTTATTACACAAGGGCGCCTCTGGTAGACGGAGGAAGAAATACTAATGGAAGAGAGGGGTGCGGGGAAGGGGGGTTGTTTTAGTTAATTTAAAATAAATTTAGACATACATGTAAGAACACTTTGTGTGCTTTTAATTAGGTCGAACATATTATAAACGATAAATCAACTGAATTAAAAGCATACAAAGTGTTCTTATATGTCGGATATTAATTAAAAAATATATTAAAAATACTAGAAATAGCATATATTAAGTTGTTACAGTTATAATTTAATCTTTGGCGGTTTTCAGCAAATAGCAGGCAGTTTTACATAATTTTCCTCCCTTTGAAGTGAATTGGAAACGGCTAGGTATATAATTTTGGTGTAGGCAAGATTCCCAGTTTGTTTCTGTTTGGGACCTGAAATAATAAAAACAAATTAAATCAGATGTAATCATCTGCTGATCATGCTAATATAAAACGCGCGTCCTTAATTCCTTACATGCACCGTAAAAAAATTTAAATAACTGCTCTGCAAGTAGCATTTATTAGCAGTACTAATTTAAAAAATCTATAACTGTAAGTAGATATGTTTAATTTACTTACCATTGTATCCTTCGGAAACCAGGAGTACAACAATTAAACTCCATGATAAAAAATAATTAAGAGTTATTACAAAACACAAATTGTCCCACCATTTTTAAAAAACATTGTCTAAAACAGAATACTGGCAAAAAATCTGAAGGATTTTAATTTTACAATAATTCGACAAATCAAAACGAAATCAAACCGTAACAACAAAAGCGTCTCTGAGTGACAGTTAAAAATCAAATTTTATTATTGTCAGATATTGACATTTGCATTGTTAATATTGACAGTTTTAATATTTTGCGCCTCTGCATCTTGGAGGAAAAACTATTTTTAATGAACTGTCATTTCCATTTAAGTTTCCCAGCCATGAATTAGACGAACTACGCGAGAAGTCTATGTTAAAGTCGCTTACTAATGTCAAGACTAAAGTTTAGGTCGACTTGGGTTTATGTTTATATATTGATTCGGGAAACAATCATGTAAAATGAATTCGAGTCAGTCAATTTGATTTAAACCCAAAGAACAACAGCTAAATGTCAACCAGAGTCGCCCAGGATTGTTGGGCGCCGCAATTCCCTTGGCTGTGGTACCAATATGAACAAAAATGAAATAGTGAGGGAAATATACAAAAAAGAAGGAAAAAATTAAACGGCCTAGCCCTCAACAACTCACAACCGCATTTCACTTGATTTCAACAAATTTTGACCTCAGCGCTGTATACGGCAGAAATCAGAAATTTTCGCTATGTATTTCACGCTGCTCCGGGTACAGTTTATGTTGATCAGATTAAAATAATATTGAAATCGTGATTTTGTCATAATATTTAAGTAGTTTTTTGCTAGTGCAGTTATTAAAACTAGAAAACACTCAGGTACGAGGTTTGTGTGATGGAACGTTGTTTTGGTTAGTAAAAAATAAGTTAAAAGTAATCCGAACTGAGGGTCGTGTTGTGACAATTTCAAGTGTTAACGCGTAAAGGAAAGAGTAATTAAGGCGCTGTTGGGTGCAATAACATTCAATAACTCAACTTTCCCGGATATTCAACTCTCCGGAAACAACATTTTATAGCTTCATAGTATCTTACACCGATTTGATCATAAGCAAAAATGGATTCAAACAGTTCGATGGAACAAGTGAGTAAACAAAGTGCCCGTTACATATTCAAAAAATAAAATAGAATGTACTATGAGGGGATAAAATATAATTTGTTTATAATTACTAACTAGTATTAATGGTATACTTTTTTAATAAACTAATGATTAAATATTTTATGACCATCTTCTAAAATTATAATTATGTACCTTTAAAAAAATGTGTTATAGCCGAAATAGTTCCAATTATGACCGCACTAGCAAAACCATAAAAGTAAATTCTCAAAAAAAAAGTTTCTTTTTAGCTGGAATAATAAATTATAATACAAGTTAGACCTTCTGAAGGTACCAAAATATTTACATTTTTATTTTTATTTTTAGAATTTTTACAAATTATACTTTCTAACACTTTTATTCTGATTTTTTTATATTTTTATTCTGATTTTTTCTGTCTGATAGTCAAGCAGCGTTAAAAGCGATCAACTCAGTATCAATCAATTCGAAATTGGTCAAAGAAAGCATAGAGAAGCTGAATAAATTAGGCAAAGAAAACAAAGTCCTCCTACTCTGGGTGCCTGCTCACCAAGGGATAGAAGGCAATGAAAAAGCAAATAATCTAGCTAGGAAAGGAGCGAACACTCCACTAACTGGACCAAAACCGTTCTGCTTTCCAAGTGGTAACCAACTCAAGGCGGAACTCAAGAACTTGGAAGATTCCATCCGCAACCTGGAATGGAAATCTTGCAACGGTCTAAGACACTCAAGAAGTTTCTGAGGGCTTATGATCAAGAAAAATCACAGATATTCCTGGGTTTAAGTAAGAACAATCTTCGGATTGTCACGGGGTTATTAACAGGACACTGTCTCCTCAATGAACACCTCAGTAGATTGAAACTAAGAAGAAACGGCGAATGCAGATTCTGTGGGGAAGATGGGAAACACCAGTACACCTCATCACTGAGTGCGCCGAGACGACAACCATTCGTGCCATGAATTTTGGTACGACTGATATTGGAGATGGAGAACTACCCTCTATAAAACCGTCCCAGATACTGGCTTTTGTCAAAGCCCTGGGACTGTATGATGAGTTATTACTCAAGAAAGGGGGACACAATGGATCCGTAAGGTCGCAGTGATTAACCCCCCTCCCACTCATTCTAAATTCTAAAAATTCTAAAACACTTTTATTATATACTAAATTTTTCCTATACTCTATTTAAACCCATGTAAGTACGAGTTGTTTACCTTTGTTTTAGTATAGGTTCTGGGCTGCAAATTGGGGCTTTAGGCTTCCGTTCGCTCCTTTTATTTTCCATCATTATTTTTCATTTCTTAATTTTTTTCCATCTCCTAGTTTGCACACGATGCCTCGTGCATCGTATGCTTCCTAGATTTTGTTTTATGGGATCGTTTTCATCGCTTCCTGATTCCTTACCGTACTGATGAAGCCTGAAGACAGTAACACCAGTGTACACTAGTGTAGGTTTGTTTATGTGAGTGTGTGTCTGCACTAGTGTACACTGATTTAAACAGTTACGAGTTGTTGAGAGCTGCTAGGCTGTTTAATTTTTTCCTAATTCTTTTTAAATTATAAATTTTCTTCCAGTAGCATACACATCCGTTTTTTAGAAGACCCTGTGTATCTTATGTTATATCCAAAGTATATAAAAAAAACAATGCTTTTCAACTAATCAATCTTTATTTATCATAAAATATGTGATGATAATAATACAAAAACTTCATACGGTTTAATACACTCGATTTACCTCCGCTTTCAAAATATAATGTAAATACATATTATATTTTGACGGCGACATGACTGGAACATTTACACAAACTACTGATTACTTGTTTCCTATCGATGTTAACAACCGTATCGACTGGGAAATTTAGAGATAACTTCAACGATCCGCGAGTTAAGGTAATCCGACTGGGATCGGTATATCGCAATGCGGGTTTTTCTCTAGTTTTTACTCTAGTGGTTTTCGTGGTTTCTTTTACTTCAGGCTCAGATTTCTGTTTCACATTGGCAACAGCTGCTGATTTTGGCTTGTCCACTATGCTGGGGAAAATAACTGATCTTCTTGGAGGCACCGAGCTGAAACAAATAAGAATATAAATTCTTCAGAGTTAGATTAAACTGACTTTTATGTGAAATGAATTGATATTTTTAAAACGTCGAGTTCGTTTGTCTATATTTGACAAACTATTTTCATTTTCAATTCGATTTGCAATTTAATTTCCATTTGCTACTGTCCAGTCTGGAAACCACATGAAAAAACATATACCGGGTGCGTCTCAAAATAAGTGGCTCACCCCTATAACTTGTTTATTTTTTCAGACAAGATAACTAGATTTGGTATGTTAGTATATGACATAAATTAAGAATGATTGACGTATTCAATTTTGTCACTTTCTGTGTTTCAGAGGAAATGACTACAACTTTTTATTTTTAAATGGCACCCTCGGTATAATTCTGAATAGAATGACATATCATATGTCAACTTTTGACATTTTCGCTTAATAAAAAATCGTATTTTAAATTTTAATCTAGAGTACCATGGTTATGTTAAAAACACTAATTTTTAATCAATCAGCCTTGGAAAAATAGATTTGATAGTCTAATAATGTTTTAGTGTCCTGTCCTGACCAGTTAAAAAATGCCCAAATCGATTTTTAATCATATCTCAACTTTTTCAAATGGAACGAGGGTGACTCATTAGCATATTTGGAAAAAGCATTTTTTTACGAATAAATTGATACCACACACTTGATATTTGAGTCAAATTTTCTTTATGAATCGTATGTTATAATTTCAAATAAACGATATGCGCAAATGTCAAAAGTTGACATCCCAAGTAACAAAAATATCTCTATAATTATCGTATACCACGCTATAAAATAAAATGTTATACAATAGATTTGTTCCCAAAACATGATATAGTGCTTTATACGACATCTACCGAAGCAAAATAGGCCAGTTGGCATAGGCTTCTGTAAGCATGCTATACAGATATTATAAAATAAATATTGATACGCTTATACAGCTACTATAAGACAAACTTTTTTTCTGCTTTATATAACGCTTATGTCTGATAAGGGAGTTGTTAGGCTATTATTATAGAATGACGACTAACAGTTTTTAGAATATCTATAAAAGCCTTAAAAATCAGTTGCAAGAATGCTGTTTAGGTTGCTATAGAAGACCGCTAGAAACGATATTCGTTTGTCCTTTTTGTCATCTTAAAAGAACCATTTGGTTCATTTTAAAATAACTATACGATAAAAATACTTCCTAAGTCAATACCTATACAATTCTTTATTTCTTTACATATTCTATAAAACTGTCAGAAAATAATAAATAAATGGCGATGGCAATTAAAAATAATATACCACCATGATGAATATACCTACTACCTAACTTAAAACAGAAAATAAATAGGTTACAAGTTATAGATTCTTCTGCGCAACTAATTTTTCTGATAAAATATATATACATTTTAATGCACAAAATTGAAGCGCCTTCTCTTTTTTAACATTTTAAATATTTTTTCTTTAAATATTCGTAAAATTTAACTATATTTTTTTTTAAACCTATTAGAAAAGGTATGAAACCTTTTCTAATCATCAAATTAATAATCGCCTTTTGCAAGAAACACTTACTAGTTAGTTGGTTTTTATGTTTTTAGTTTGAATTGAAAAATATCATCCACATACCTAAACCATAGTCTTGGAAAATACTCAAACTGATTCTTAGCCTCCACTTCAAACCTGCTCATGAATAAATTAGCCAAAAATGGAGACAATGGATTACCCATTGCTGTACCTTCCCGCTGTTCAAAAAAGTTGTTATTAAATTGAAAACAATTTTGTTTCATACATAACGATGTAAGCTCAATATATTCACTCAAAGTTTTGTTGTCGAGACCATTTGCGTTCAGTAATTCCTTCAAGTAGCCTAAAGTATGTGGAATTGGAACACTTGGGAACAACGAAGATACATCAAAGGAGACCAAAATTTCACCTTCATGCAATGTTATATCTTTAATTTTGTTAATGAATTCAATATTATTTTTAACTGAGAAAGAAGGTTCATGATCAGGTAAATTTTCGAACTCCCTTGATAACCATTTTGCCAAATTATAAGTCGGAGAACCTACAGCCGAAACAATTGGGCGCATAGACTTGTCCGGTTTATGAATTTTTGGCAAAGCATACAATTTTGGTAATGAGGGATTGGATACTTGCAATTTCCTCTTTAAAGAAAGATCAATAATTTATTGTATTATATAAGATTTTGAATAATAAGTTTAAAAAATTAAAAAGCTCTAAAAACAAACATGTTTTCCAAAGAGACATAAACATAGTAGAAAATCTTTCTTCGCAGACTTTTGATAAACAAGAGCTTAGTTTATTAAATAAACTAGTGGCGGAAACTCTAGTGGCGGAAATCTAACTGTTACGCTCAGTTGGCTCTGACTTGGTTGGATAGATTTCTCCACGCCCACTTGGTGCCCACTGAGCGACTATATAAACGCTCAACTTGTAGATTGTACTTTAGTTTATAATCATCTGCTGATGATGCTAACATGGTTAGCGAAACGCGCGTCCAGTGTAAAGGTAAAAGTGTTTTGGTGTATTGTGGTGATTTAGTGTTTTTATTTTGCTGTGTAACACTAAAGGTTCCAACCCTCAACTGTAATAAAAATCAAAAGTTATAGTCATTTCCGGTGAAACAGGAAGTGTGCGAAAACAATTGAATTTGTCAATCAATCCTAATTGATGGCATATACGAACATACCAAATGTGTGAGCCACTTTTGCGACGCACCCGGTATTTCATGACTTTTTTTTCTTTCAAGCATTGCTTAATTAATACAGACATCTTTCACCAACAACAACGCGCCGTCAAATTTAACAGTAAAATGTTAAACAAATTGAATTTCAATCGTTGTGAATTAATGAAAATTTAAAACGAAAAAGCCGACAAGTGCGAGTCGGTCTCACCCACCGAGGGTTCTGTATAAAAACTACATATTTTTTTATTTAATTACAAATGTATTTTTTTTTAGGTGCCCGGTGACGTAGAGGTACAGCTCTCGTCTACCAATTCAAAGGTTGTGGGTTCGAATCCCACAGCCGGCATTTCATCAGCCGACTATTTTTAATAAAATAAAAATAGTTTGGGTACCTAGGTCGACTCAGCCTTAAATGAGTACTTGGGATTCACAATCCTGAGGTAATAATAGGCGGTTGAAGCGTGGTGCTAGCCACATTACCTTCATTGTATACCGAACGGCTCTAGTATGGCAAGCTGTACCTTGCTACTCCCAAGGCATTAAACGCTATACAGGGTTATTCACCACATACGACACGGAGTGTTGTAGCTAAACGATTAGATTTTTAAAAATTGGAAGTTTTGGGTTCGTTGAAGGACTATTAGAGCTACAATTTAAAAATATTTCACAAGATACAGAGTGTCCCAAATAGTAAAAAATATCATAGTTGTATTTTTTTAAATGGAACACCCTGTATATTATTCTATTTTTGGATTCTACGATTGAAATAAAGGTAAATTTGATTAAGGTTTATCACACTTAAACCTTACCGTTTTTGAAATATTTTCAATTTTAAGAAATTGCAGTAAAAATTTTAATGTTTCATTTCTCCAAGGGTATCAAAGTTTTTAATACTAAATATTTACTGAGAATATTTATTGATCAGATATTGTGTTGCAATAATAAAAATTTTACTACCTTATACAGAGTGTCCAAAAATTTATATTAAATAATTACTAGCTTTAAACGGCAATAACGTGTTTAAGTTAAATGGAACACCCTGTATATTTTACGTGAATCATAGGCACAATTTAATTGTCTATCAAATTTTATTATACCATTTTTTACCTGTCTCTGCAACTTTTCGTAGAAAATGCATTTTCTTATAATTTAGACATCATTTATCACTATACCCATGGAATATTGACATTTCAGATTTTTTTTAAGCAACATATATGCAGAAAATGTACAAGTGATAAATATTGCAAGCCTATTGGTATCCAAAAAAACTATTTAAATCTTTATAAAAGAGTTTACGAATTAAATATACCACCATTATTTCCGACCAAAAATTAGTTAATTACATACTTTTAAATTGTTTTAATTAATAAGGTATTCTAAATAAATGTGGATTTGGCTCAGAAATCAATATAATAATAAATTATGAAAATATTATTAGTCAAAAAATGAAATAAAATTTATAAGGCGTTACTTTTTACCACACTGTCTAATACACACAAAATTCAGTTTTTTAGTATTTGGAGCAATTATTATTAATCAACATAAACAGTCAATTAATGTAGTCTGAATACTGAGATCATATTAATTGGTCCTTTTTAACAAAAATGTTTAAACAGTTCTTTTTTATTTTTTTTATGAAATAAGGGAGCTATATCGACAATATTAGTATCTATACTCTTGGAAAATTTGTTACATCTTTAAAAATAATCTAAAATGTCAATATTCCATGGATATAGTGATAAATGAGGTCTAAATTATAAGAAAATGCATTTTCTACGAAAACTTGAAGAGATAGGTAAAAAATGGTATAATACAATTTGATAGACAATTACATTGTGCATCTGATTCACGTAAAATATATAGGGTGTTCTATTTAAATTAAACACGCTATTGCCGTTTAAAGCTAGTAATTATTTAATATACATTTTTTGACACTCTGTATAAGGTAACACAATATCTGGTCAATAAATAATCTTCAGTAAATATTTAGTATTAAAAACTTTGATACCCTTAGAGAAATGAAGCCTTAAAATTTTTATTGCAATTTCATAAAATTGAAAATATTTCAAAAACGGTAAGGTTTAAGTATGATAAACCTTAATCAAATTTACCTTTATTTTAATGGTAGAATCTAAAAATAGAATAATATACAGGGAGTTCCATTTAAAAAAATACAACTATAATATTTTTTACTTAGTTGGGACACTCTGTATCTTGTAAAAATATTTTTAAATTGTAGCTCTAATAATCCTTCAACGAACCCAAAACTTACAATTTGTAAAAATCTAATCGTTTAGCTA